TATACACACACACACAGTATATATATATATATATATATAATATTTTTTATTTATATAATTGCATAATATACTGTATATAATGAATTGTAATCATTTGATCTGTTTTGTAATTATTTTAATATTTTTTTTAATAATTATGCCATTTTGTTTATTCATTTTCCCATTTACTCATATTATGTTTAGGGTTATGCAATTTAATCTGAACTACTTCTACAATTCAAAATTAGCGATTTCCAAGGCATTCTCACTTATTTCAATTCTGATTGGTACCGAACTCTGATATGCAGGTAGGTTATATCTGATCCTTTCCATATAGGCATCACAGCTCAGGTGCTTTCTCGTGCATTATTTATTGTGTCCATTAACGCAATTATAGTGAATTGAATGTTTGCCCATAAGTGTGAAGTAGTTCATGGTGTAGCAACGTAAAAACGCTATATAACAGCAAAACTATACAAAGATTAAAAGTCAAAGAAATGATACTCTAAACCAGGTGTTATTTTTGATGCTGCAGTTTAGAGCAAAGTGACCGACTGCAGTACCGCGTGCACGAGGATTATGGGACGGATTGACGTTGGAGAGATTATAGGAGAGAAAACAAACTCCAGCCTGAATCAAACGACACAGAACGCATTTGAACTCAAGCGGACCATCTTCATCTGCGGGCAGCCAAGGTGAAATATATTTGTTATGACGTAGAGGAAGAGCTACATGGACGCCGTTACGTGTGTCGAGCGAGTAGAAACATATAACCTAGATGCGAAAAAACTAACCAATCGGCCAATCGATGCATCGTTACGACTGTCCGCTCATATATTTGCATCGCATAAATGTATTGGAAGTGATTGTGGAAACGGGCTTTTACGTTGTTCAAACCAATTTGTCATTGAAAAGGTGGAGATGAAGGTCGAGCTCTATTTAACAGCACTTTTCATAAATCGCCGGTACTTGAAGCTAGGCTATAGATAGAGCATCATTTTTATGCGCAATATGGTTATAGTAATCCATAAGAACATCCATAAATGCACTGGCGGCATCAACGAGGATATTTCTAAAGGTGCAGGTGCAGTTTTGTTTTACTTTTCTCTTTTTTACAGAAATAAATAGTAGCCTACTTTTGGAAAATATCATTACAATACACTCAGTTGTACATTAGATTATTATTATTATTATTAATGTACATGAAGCAGGTCACCCTACTAACTCGTACAACTAGCCTGCTTAAATTCAAAACCAGAAAGACCACATTGGTTGACTATCTTCACGTGAAGTACCATGCTTGTAAACTAGCTTAACCAACAAGTTGTGTTGGTGAACATCATAACAGGGTGGCTAAATCACCACTAACCAGATTAAAAGCTAGTGTTTTCAGGGTTAAATTACACAAAATACACACTTTCTGAATTTTGTATAAAAACTAATGTTTAAAACATTGTTTTCAAGACCTTCCAAGAACAGATCTGTTGATTAATTCCGCCATAATACTTTTGTGTTTCATATTTATGAAGTTTTTCAGACATGAGTCAGCTGAGGTCCCTAGCTGGTGCCCTAAGAAGCAGTAGCCAATGGATGAGGGGGCACGTGGGGACAGGGAGGCGAGTTTTTGACCCACGTCGTAACTGTTTGAGCAGGGCTGCTGAGCCCTCATTGGCAGCCTGCAGCTCCAGCTATGTCGTGGAGATGTACTACGCTTGGCTGGAGGATCACAAAAATGTTCATGAGGTGCAGTGAACATCTACTAAAGACACTCCAACTCCGTCACGTTTCAGAAACCTAGTGTGCTTGCTAATAAGTGAAATGCAATGCTAAAATTGATCTCAAAAACCCCTTTTGCTCACTTCAGACTTTTACATAAGTGTTAAAGTGTTATTGTAGTAACATATGCTATTATATTTTGTTAATATTTTGAATTAGATTTTATTTTTACTTTTTCTTTCTTTGATGTTTTCATTTTAATTTTAGTTAAAGTTTTAGTAATTTTGTTGTGTTTTAGTCATTTTTAATATTATTTTATTTTTACTTATTCTTTCTTTGATGTTATCATTTGAATTTTAGTTCAAGCTTAAGTAATTTTGTTGTGTTGTTGAGTCATTTTTAATATTATTTTTATAAATGTCTTTTTTTTTAGCTTCAGTTTTTGTTTTTTGTTTATTTAGTTGTAGTTATTTTAGTTCTTCACCTAAGGATATTGAGAAATTTTGACTTGGCAACTAGCTGAAATAGAATAAGTTTTCTTTTTTTCAGTTGAGTCACTTTCAAAATTTCAGACGGCGCTTAGAGACTTTTGCATCTGAACTCTTCATTGACAGTATGCATTTGGTAGACACTTTTTTTTTATCCAAAGCAACTTACATTGCATTCAGGGTAAACATTTGATCAGTTCATGCATTGCCTGAGACTCAAACCTATGAGCTTGGTGATCATTTAATCACTTTAATGTAATTTTTCTTGCATGGAACACAAGATGAAGTATTTAGCAGAAAGTTTAAGCTCCTCTGTACAGTAAAAGTGGATGGGGACTAGAGAAAATAAACAGCTTGGACATTTTGCTAAATATCTCCTTTTGAGTTACACAGTCATATGGAATTGAATTGACATTAGAGTGATAGTAAATGGTCTTTTCAACATCAGCTGAACCTGAAGCTTTTTTGTTTTGAATTAATACGAAAATTTGACCTTTTGAAATGTGCTCTTGCTATATTTGCAACAGTCTTGGGATGCATACTTTCGTAACGCCCAAGCCAGTGGTTCAGAGGAGACTGGAGAGAAGCGTCTGTCTGCGCTGCTCCAGGGGCGAGCCATGTCCCAGACACCTGCCATGTCCGAGAAGGTGGTGGAGGATCATTTGGCAGTCCACAGTCTTATCAGAGCCTATCAGGTAAAGTGAGGAGCTCTGGGTTAAAGGAATAGTTCACTCAAGAATGAAAAATTGGTGTGGGTGTTATGATGTGAATAGGC